GGTCGCTGCTCGGCCCCGATGCGGGAGTCCCTTCCTGACCGCCCCGCGCCCCACGGAATGTTACTGAGAGGCTCCGTCTGCTTCGGCTGGCGGGATAGCCTTCATTCTCCCTCCGAGAGCAGCCCAGCGCCAGGAAGCGAGGGACCGCCCTACAGATGGTGGCAGATCTTCTCCCTGGGGGACATCACCCTTCTCCCAGCGACTCAACCCCTGTCCTGCCCTAGCCGAAAGTCCTTTTCTTTAGACCGAACAGAATTTCACTATGGGGTCTGCTTGCGAAATTTAACGCTTGCCTGAAAAAATCACTACTTCTCAAAAAAACGAGCCTGAAAATCCTAGGCCCTGGAAGGAAGCAAGTTTCCTTCGACTAGAGTCCTGGTGCTCCTTGAACCCTGTTAGAAGGGTGACCCCTTACCCAAGGTTCAGCCTTTTGGCATTCGCATCACTGAGGGAAATTTAACCTGTACACGCCCTCTCACTCCCATTTATCTTTACTTCGCACAATTATATTTGTAGATGTCAGGATAAATTCTGATCTTTATTTAACAAAACTTAGGTAACACTTGTTATATGTAGCGCAAAACATTGGGTTAAATGTACAAGTATAATTTATTTAAATTGTAAGACAATTCTGTTAGGTAATGTTATTACTCTCATTTTATGGATAAGGCATAGAGAGGTTGAGCGACTTGCCTAAGGTCACAGAGAAAGTGAAGTGGGTCTGGATCCGGACACCCCCTCCCATCTCCCACCCCTGTTCTAGGGATGGAATCCAAGGCTTTGCAGTATGCTAGGCAATAATTGCTGTACTATTGAGCAATATCCCCAGCCTACAGATTTTTAAATACTGTTCTGTCTTAGTTGGGGATTACCATTTACTGTACTTCTTGTTGATAATCACTTACCAAGCCCAATTTTGAATCACTTTCCCCTTTTCCCTCAGTTTACCAGTGCCCCAGAATTAATTCATCTTCCTTTTTTCCTGTATTGCATTCTGATCTCCCTGCAACCAAAACATAGATATAACTTTACCTTCTTTGTACAGTCTTGGGTCATTGCCCCTCCTTTCAGAAAGAAGTTGCTTATTGACCTCCCTCAACCCCTATGGGAGCGGTACAGCATGAAAGTGCTTGAAGGAAGAGAGGAAGAGTAGGCTGGAGACTACGGCACATCTTCATCTGCACAACTTCCTTCTCCCCAGCACATTGTTAGCACAGCTGTCTACTGCCATCCTTGGAGTAGTAGTTTGCCTTTTGTCTCTTTAAAGGGACTTTTAGCTCCCTTTTGAGGACCAGTTTATTACATCATTGTCACCCCTACCCTTGGCATTATGATTGTGATCATCATGCTCCTCTCGTTTCCCATTTTCTTAAACTCTCAATGGTCAACTATCCTCATTTCATTGTCTTTTATAAAAACCGAGGGCTACTTAGTAATATTCTTCTAAGTGCATAATCAGTGGTTATAAATATATGGTTTTCACAAAAAATATGTTACTAGAGTTTCAGTATTAAGAAATTTGCCCGCTGAACTGTATTGGCAGCCTAACAGAGATCCCGCTGGAGCCTGCTGTAAGGATTCCTTATCAGGGGACCATCAGAGTTGTCTTGAGTGGCTTGTGGTTTTCAGGTGGTATCATTCTTGTTTTATATGATAAATGACTTTATTTTTTTGGTACTGGGGATCGAACTCAGGACCTTGCCCTTGCGAGGTAGGCACCACTGAGCTAAATCCCTGGCAGTAAATTACTTTTTAATTTAGTGTTATAGATTTAGTTTGTTGTGATTATGTTAACCCTCGACTAAATAGTTATATATGCTGTATTTATGTCAACTATATTGGTTTTTTTTGAGACAGAGTCTTGCTATGTAGTTCAGGCTGGCCTCGAGCTTACTGTGCCTCCCAGGTTGGCCTCAGACTCACAGCAGTCCTCCTGCCTCAGCCTCCCAAGATCTGAGATGACAAGTCAACTAAATTTTGAACTACAATTTCTTAGTATTTAAAAACATTTTTATCTTGGGATTGGACCCAGGGTCTTTTCACTGAGTAACATCCCCAGCCTTTTTAAAACATTTTTTGTTTTGAGACAGGGTCTCATTAAATTGCACAGGCTGGGCTTGAATTTGTGATTCTCCTGTTTCAGCCTCCCAGAGTGCTGAGGTTACTGGCATACACAACCATGCCTGACTCTATTATCTTGACTTTTAAGATATGTGTATTATGATTCAAATATGATTCATTGCTATCACTGAGTTCTTTTTCCATTAGAAAGAGAATTTTGTGGAGGTAGATGGATTAAGGGTCCTTTGCTCTAAGGGGAGTCTGTAAAAAATAAAAACAAAATGTTTGAGAGCTACTACATGATCCTGCAATTTTAGTTGCTTTTTCTGAGCCCCTATATCATGAAGGTAGGATTTTCATTTATTGTTTCACCTTTTCTTTGGAGATAACACAGATCTTTCTCTCTACTTGACCATCCAAATGCAAGTAAGTACCCACTGTCTTTGTCTTTAGCCTAGCTGTTCTCTGCCTGAGATGATCTTACTTTTTTTCCCCCTTCAGAAGCAGCAGCATGCATAGATAGGCTTGATGTTTCAGATTCCAGGCCTTACCTTGCATGTTTCTATTTTATTTCTTGTTTTAGTCATGACAGTCATTAAACAGGTTTGATTAAGGTGATACTGCTCTCTTCCTTTATCATCCCCAACTGTAAATCCTACATTTTTGTACTACTCTTCATAGAATGATTTTTCCTATTTCTTCTGTCTTCTGAGGTAGTTTTTTTTTCTCCATTTTTTTGCAGTACTGGGGATTGAACTCAGTACCACTGAATTACATTCCCAGCTACCCCTTCCCTTGAACAACATTCCTTTAAAAAAATTTAAAATATAACCATAACTTGCCCAGATGAGTCTTGAACTTGGTGATCCTACTGCCTCAGCCTCTCAAGTAGCTGGGATTACAGGCTTGAGCCACTGCACTCAACTCAACGGTAGCATTTTTATGGTATCAGATTTTTAGTTATTCCTGAGACAGAAGAGGTACTAGAGAACAGAAAATAGCAGTGAATTGGTAGCAGATATGAGATTTATATATTCATCTCTAAAATTCAGCTATTCAAGAAAATCCATTTAGTTATGTTACCTGACCATAGTCTTCTTTGCCAGTTAGTTGTGTATTATTACTTATTTTCTTGCTGTGATACCAAATTACTCATCCTGTCTTTGCCTTTTTGAGAAGTTATAGTGGCTTGACTTTTTCATTAAACAACTATTCTTATTTTAGTCTTGAACCATACATGCAATGTTAATTGATTTCCATATGTGATAAGTAATTCTGAAAGATAGAAGCGTATCTGTACATACAGAGGCTGTTGTCTAGCAAATTCTTTCGGAAAAGCAGCCATTTCTTTTTCTTGTCTATATCTTTAAAATTATTTGATAGCTGCAAACTTAATTTTTGAAAAGAGTCCCATAGACATTAAAGTCTGTCCTGTTTTTAAAAATATTATTGGTTCCTACTTTGTAATATAAATACTAAAGATTTGATCACAAATCACTCATAAACAGCTTCATGGAATTTATATTGTTTCACTTTTGTGGCTGTTGTGAATAGTGCTGCTGTTACCTTTAATTGTACTAGTTTTGCTTTGATATTGGGGATTGAACTCAGGACCTTGTGCTTACGAGGCAAGCACAGTGCCACTGGGCTAAATCCCTGGTTGAGCTGTACAAGTTTTTGTACATGTTTTGTGTTTTCATTTTTCTCAGTGGTATACTTAGGAGTGGGATTTCTAGGTCATATGATAACTCTGTTTTACATTTGAAGAACTGCCTGACATTTCCAGAGTCTGCACCATTTTTTTTTCCCCTAAAGTAGCCCATGAAACTATTTGTATTTCTCTCTGATGTTTTTACAGTTAATGGGTCCAAGTATCAGCCAGTGTTGGTCCCTGACTGAGAAGATGGGAACTGAGCATCTAATATATTCAAAATTGTGCTCCATATAGTTTAAACTGTTTCCTAAGGTAGTATTCAACTTAGAAAACTCCAAACACACAAGAGAACTGGAGGTTTATTCAAAATGGCTGCCTGTTCCAGTTTTACTAACTGGATGGGGGCTTCTTGCTGTACTGAACCCATTTCCCCCACACAGTAAAGGTGAGTACTGGCTAAGAGGAGTGGCCCAACACTCTGATCTAAGGCAGATCAGGATGAAAACAATGAAAACCCTGGCCGCTAGAGGGGCCAGGCAGAGGTCCCAGTGGCAGTTTTTGCTGTCTTTATCTCAGAGGCTGGGAACCACAGGTGGAGGCAGGCAGAATCCTTGTCATTACTTATTATTATCTTTTTTTAATTTTAGCTCTTTTAGTGGGTGTCACGTTTCATCTCGTAGTTTTGATTTTTTTTTTCCTCACAGCTATTTTCATGTGGTTATGGGTCATCATTTATTGTCTTTGGAAAAGTATCTATTCAGACCATTTATCTATTTTTAAATTTTTTGCGAGGTTGAAGGAGTTCTTTGCATATCAGTGTCTTATCAGATAATATGATTTGCAAATAGTTTGTCTCTTTCTGTGAATTCTCTTTTCACTTTCTTGAGGTCTTTTATTTTCTTAACTCTTGCAGTTTTTAATATTTATGACATCTAATTTATTTATTTTTTGTGCTTTTGTTTTTTTAATG